AACACATTCCAGAAATAATTTCGAGCACCCGGAAAAGTGTCGAAAGAGTGTCGAAACAGTGTCGGACGAGTGCCTCCCAGTGCTCGACGCGTGAAAACCCTCGAGCTTCGGTACTTCTCTGGTGCTCGAAATTCTTTCTGGCGGTCAAGGCTAAAGCAGGCTGGAACATCATAACTCGAGCGGGAGCCTCGTTCCTGAGCACATTGAGAGGACGCCTCGGGCGCTCGCCTGCCGGCAAATCGCGAGGAAGCCTTGAGCGAGGGCCCCCTCCCTATGAGGCGCCCGCTTCATGTTACCAGTGCGAGGCGGCCATCGGAATAACATTAGGTCGGGCGTGTCCTCCTACAGGCGGATTTTGGGCGACAAATTTCAAATACCCTAAATATATTCAAAAACATACAAAAAATCATTAAGAAAATCGTCCCCAGACTACTTTTTAAACAAGTTTTGAATATTCCTCCTGTAGAGGGACATGCCCGACTTACGAATACCATGTGAAAGCACAGGTTTGGTGAGACCTGGGAGCCTGAATCTAGAAGAATACTTGAGCGGGAGCCTCGTTCCATTGCCGAGCGTCCTCTGCAATCCGAGGCGCTCATCCTCAATCAAACCTGCAAGTGTCGGCAAGGACCAGTAGCTACCATGCAGGAAGGGAGCCTCCGCAGTCAGAAGGATGGCGATAAGTATTAATTCTAGATTACTTTGGAAGATTCACGCGTGGGGGGCTACCATCAGAATAATTGCGTTCTCGCCTTGTCAAGCTTCCGGCAGCTCAGGACGGCCAAAAAATCCTCCAAGACGGCCCAAGAGGCTCCCACGAGGGTCCAAGGATGGCCCGAGAGGACCCCACGAAGGCCAAAGAAGCATCCAAGACGGCCCAGGAGAGCTGCCGTGAGACCAACGACGGCCTTAGAAACCCTTCGACTGCCCAAGACGCCACCAAGACGGCCACACGACGGCTCATGATACCCATCATACGGCCAAGAGGGCCCTAAGACTGCCCAAGAGAGCCCCAAGACGGCCTCAGAGGGCACCAAGACGGCCTCAAGGGACCCCCCAAGACTGCCTCACAGGAGGCCAAAAGAGCCCCAAGACGGTCCATACGAGTTCCATGAGAGCTCACCTGGTGAAGAAAAAAGGTGACACATGCGACGGCCTTCCTCTTCCATTTCCTCCTCCTCCTCCTCCTCATGCCCCTCCTTATCCTCGTAGTCACCATCATCACCAGCACCACCATCACCATTACCATCACCATCACCATCGCCACCACCACCACCATCATCGTCATCATCATCATCATCATCATCATCATCATCATCATCATCATCATCATCATCACTATCAGCATCCTCCTCCTCCTCATCATCATAATCCTCCCCATCCTCATCATCAGCTTTCTCATCATCCTCCTCCTCCTCCTCATTATCAAAATCCTCATCATCATCACCATCACCATCATGATCAACAACATCATCAACATCATCACGGCTCTCCCTGGTCTGAAAACAAAAATGTTACACGTGACGACCTCCCGTGCCTCCTCAAACAGTCGCAGCCAGAATACTGGGCTGGCACTGTGGCGGGACTTGCCGCAGGCAGCTGGATAATCTTCGTGTGCTGCTCGTGACTCTGCATAAGCCATGCCGAACTCAAGGCCACACTGGACCATGCCTACGAGCACGAAAGCATGAACTCCCTGGAAGCCTGCATACTTGGTTATTAGTCTAGTTTCTTCCGACGTCCGTTCGCGGACGAATTCCCAACACAACTTGGAAAACACCCACACTACCCAGTACTGGCATACGGCACAAAGAACCAAATTCTGGCGGTACAGACCTAGATTGAACCGATTGCTGGTCGGCCCAAACTCATTCTCGATCACCATCCACATCCGGGCGGTGCTCTGCACAGACATGGCGATGTAGACTGCAGGCACGGAGAGCACGCAGAACACAATATCTTGGCGCGTGGAGGGGGCCCAGGGGTAGTCCTGCCTGCGAGCGCGGCGCCACGCGCTTCCTGCGAGCGCGGCGTGGACAAAGTGCGCCGAAAGGAACAGGAAACCAACCACCCCAGCCACGAGGCTCGCTTTGGAGACCCGCCTGACAAAGGTGGGCATAGCCTTGGAGAGCCAATGCGCCCGCATGAGCGATATGTTGGTCTGGTACGTGAAAGCCATCAGCACGCAGAAGCCAAGAAAAAACAGTCCGTACCACTGCAGCAGGCCGGTAAGGCACGGAGGAAGCCTGTGCAACAGGGCTTGCACGCACGTGTGGGTCTTGATGCGTCCGATGGGCGACTTGTCATGGTGTGTCTGATCGTGCACGAAGAGCCTGCGCGAAGCGCACCGCCACACTGCAACGCCGAAGAGGAACCAAAAGCAAACAACCACCAACTTCATGCTTGACGTGCGTGTCTCCTTGGAGGATATTGCACTGAAGCCGTGGACATCCTTGCTAGATATGGTTCGAGACGCTCGAGCCCAGATGACCACGGCTTGCACAATCTGCTGTGTACTGAAGCGTCCTGTTGTCGTACCAGACTTTTTAAATATTCTCTCATGCGCGGTCATCGATATTCGTACTGGCACGTGCATGTGCGTGCGCATTCCTAAGGAAGCCGCCAAGCACAAGAACCTTGATGGGATAGCATCTGCCGCTGACAGGAACAAACGCAGCATGGTGGCAAAACAACATGCACATACAACTCTACAACTCACAAATATGAGGACCTAGCCCCCGTGGTTGCAGATCAGCGAGGCTCGGCAGAAGACTCCCAGAAGCCCGCCAGAGGGTGTCCTCTTTTACACTTTGAACAAAGAGCCCGCCGCAGGCGCCGATTTCAGTTCGTCTCAACTGCATGGGTGGGTCGCGGGTGGGTAGCGGGTGGGTCGCGGGCGGGTCGCACGTGGGTCGCGTGGTTTTTTGGGGGATACCTTCCATCCCTGTCACGTGTAGCTGGCGGAGCCCCCAAAATTATCCCAGTGCGACCCTACCTAGGAGTTGGAGCCTCTAGGATACCTAGGAGTTGGAGCCTCCAGGAAAACAGCATTAATAGGAGCGGTAAACGCCGTCCTCCTCCTTCTCCTCATCGTCGTAGTTGTAGCAGTAGCGGTGGTAGTAGTAGTAGTAGTAGTAGTAGTAGTAGTAGTAGTAGTAGTAGTAGTAGTAGTAATAGTAATAGTAATAGTAGTAGTAGTAGTAGTAGTAGTAGTAGTAGTAGTAGTAGTAGTAGTAGTGGTAGTAGTAGTAGTAGTAGTAGTAGTGTAGTAGTAGTAGTAGTAGTAGTAGTAGTAGTAGTAGTAGTAGTAGTAGTAGTCGTAGTAGTAGTAGTAGTAGTCGCAGTAGTAGTAGTAGTACTGCTACTACTACTAGTAGTAGTAGTAGCAGTAGTAGTAGTAGTAGTAGTAGTAGTAGTACGAGCGGAGTCCATAACAGACCCCTGGTTTAGGGTTTAGGGTTTAGGGTTCAGGGTTTAGGGTTTAAGGGGGTTATATATCTATATGCACATATAACGTATATATGCATAACATATATATATATATAACATATGTTCAGGGGTCTGTTATGGACTCCCCGGGTAGTAGTAGTAGTAGTAGTAGTAGTAGTAGTAGTAGTAGTAGTAGTAGTAGTAGTAGTAGTAGTAGTAGCGCCAGAACCGCCGACGCCACGCCGTAAGTGAAGCAGCAGCAGAAGCAGGCAGCAAGTCGCCGAGACAGCAGCAAAAGCAAGCAGGCACGGAGATGAGGGCGGGGCACTGGGGAGTTCTTTACATCTACATCTATACCTACACCTACACATACATCGACACCTACATCTACATCTAGACCTACATCTACACCTACAGCTACATCTACATCTACACCTGCATCTACATACACATCTATACCAACAGCGAGACTCACATCTACATCTACATCTACACCTACACCTATACCTACACCTACATCTACATCTACATCTACATCCACACCTACATCCACATCTACACCTACACCTACACCTACATCTACATCTACATCTACACTTTCGCATTGGTTTTGCTGTTGCTTTGCTTTGCCTTTGTTTTTGCTATTGTCTTTGCTTTAGCCTTTGCCTTTGCTTTGGTTGGATGCTGTGCTGCGCTATGCTGTGCTATGCTATGCTCTGCTCTGCTATGCTATGCTATGCTATGCTGCGCAACGCTATGCTGGGCTAGGCTAGGCTATGCTATGCTGCGCTATGCTATGCTGCGCTATGCTATGCTATGCTATGCTATGCTATGCTATGCTTTTGCTTTGCCTTCGCTTTTGTCACGTTTGCCTTTGCTTTTGCTGTTGCTTAGCACCCAGGGAGCGCAACTGGGGGAACCGCGCGTTTGCTTTTACCTTTGCTGTTGCTTATGCTTGGCTCCCAGGGGACTGGGGGAACCGCCCGGGGCGGTTTGCACTGCCCGGCCCCTTTAAGCCAAGCGAGTAAGAACCCTTCTAGGCAGAGCCTAGGTAGGGAACAAGAACAGAAGGAATGGAAAAGAGGGAGGGCTCGGAGGAAGGGAGCGGGAAAAAGGAAGCAGAGATCGAGCAAGAGAGAGATTCGCAAGAGGGCTGGGCAAGAGGGGGTGGCAGGGAAGTCTCAGGTGACAGCGCGGTTCCTGAGCCAATTCTGAAGAAATCCCAAGCGACTCGGGGAGAAATTGAAAGGAAGTCTTAGGCGAGAGCACGATTCTTCAATACATTGTGAGGAAGTATCAGGCGGGAGCTATTGTTGTTGTGTTTCAGGGGCCACGTACCCAACCTGAGTCGCAATACATTCCACTGAGACAGAAACAGGGTGCGAGCCCAGGGCAAGGGCACCCAAATGGAACAAAAACAAATGAATCTCTTCTAGTATGGGGGGGATCAACAGTACTTATTCTGTAGAAATGGGAACTCACCAGCAAACAATTTAAGACTGTTCGCTTTTATCTGCTCGCGTGGCCATTTAACCTGTGTGTTCCAAACCCTCGATGCCCGCCATCTCCGTCTTCGATCGTACCCCCCTTGGGGGTATATCTTCCTTACCTGCCACGTGTACTTGGCGCAGCCCCTTCAGCCAGGGGAAGGGAGGGAGGAGGGAAGGGACAAGAGGGAGGTAGAAGGATAGCAGGAGCGAGTTACGAGCAGGACAACAAGCGGCAGAACCAAACGGGTGGGTCAAGCGGGCGGGTCGCTGAAGCGTCAGTCCTGCACGAACCGCGCGGAAGTCTCGAGCGATAGCGCGATTTTCAAGTAAATCGTGAGATCCAAGGCGAGAGCATGATTTCTGAGTGTCGAGGGCGCGGCGTCTCAATACATTGCGATGAAATCATCCAACGCGAGAGCGCGATTACTGTATAAATGTTGAGGGCGTCCCGCGCGAGGGCGCGATTTTTAGTAGACTGTGGTGAAGTAGCAAGCGGGAACCAGTGTTGTTGTAGTTCGGGGGCCAGGGGGGACAATCTGACGAGCAAGGCCTTCCCTTGTAAAAAGCAAGGTGCGAACCCTAGGAGAGGCACTTCAAATTTAAAGCACACATGGTACCGGGGAGGGGGGACCAACAACAATCATTCTCGAGGAACGAAACAACAACAGCGACAGTAACATTCATGTTTAGACTGCTCGCTCGTATTAGCTCGCGTGCTATTTAGCACGTATAGCACAAACCGTCGGTACCCGCCCTCTTCGTCTTCGATCGTACCACCTTGGGGGTCCATCTTCCTCGCCTGCCAAGCGAATTTAGCGCAGTCCCTAGAGCAGGGGAAGAGCGGACGGATGGAAGGGGGGAGGGAGAATGATGGAGCACGAGAACAATTAGCAGGAGGGGGGCTAGGAGCAGAAAACACGTGGCAGAACCAGACGGACAGATCGGGCGGGCAGGCCCTAGCGGACGGGTCGGGAAGGCGGGCCCAGGCGGCCAGGTCGAGCAGGGAGGTTGCCGAAGCGTATAAGTTCTGCATGAATCGCGAGGAAGTCTCGAGCGATAGCGCGAGCGTGACTTCTGAGTGTCGAGGGCGCGGCGTCGAAGTAAATTGCGAGGAGGTCCCACGCGAGAGCTCGATTCCAACATACATGTCAGGAAATCCCGCGCGAGAGCGCGATGTTGGCGTAACTTGTGAGGAAATATCAAGCGGGAGCGGTTGAACTCTCATGCCTAAGAATATGATGCCTGTTGATCCCCTCCCTCGGTGACCATTCGATTTTTCAATCAAAGTGCGCTTCCCGGGGCTCGCACCCTGTTTTCTCATCAAAGAAAGCCTGTGGTCACCAAACTTCGCCCCTGGCCCTCGGTTTACAACAGCAACAACAGAAACAACAACCACAACAACAACCACAACAACAACAGCAGCAACAACAACAGCAACAACAACAACGGCTCACAGCTGACATTTCCTCACAATGTATTTCACATGTGCGCTCTCGCGCTGGACTTCCTCATGGTATATCCAGGATCGCGCTCTCGCGTGGTCCTTCCTTACAATTTGTTGCGGCGCCGAGCCCTCAAGACTCTCAAATCAAGCTCTCGCCTTGTACTACCTCACGATTTACTTAGGAATCGCGTTATCGCTCGAAACTTCCTTCATGATGGGTTGACGCTTTAGCGACCCGCCCGCTCGACCTGGCCGTCTGGGCCCGCCCGCCCGACCTGCCCGTTAGGGTCCGCCCGCTCGACACGCCAGGCCTGTCGCTCGCGCTTCTGCTCCTCGCCTTCCTCCTGCTAATTTCTTTCGTGCTCGATCCTTCTCCCTCCCCCTTGTCTCGTCACTCCCCCCCTCCCTCCCCGGCTCTAGGGGCCGCCCCAACTGCACGCGACAGGTACGGAAGATATACCCTCAAAAGGGGGCACAATCGAAGACGAAAAACGCGGGTATCGAGGACTTGGGATGTACGTGTTGGATGGTACGCGGGCAGATAAGAACGAACACTTTGACGATGATTGTTGTTGTTGTAGCCGGGGCAACAACGTAGTTTGAGCAGGAAAATGTTCCCTTATAAGAAAATGCGAGCCCCGAGGGGGGCACTTCCACTGACAATACACAACGCGCACTGGTTAGGGGGACCAGCACAAATTATTCATCAATTGTGAAAGTTCAAGAACAGTAGACATTTGAAAACTATTCGCTCCCATCTTCTCACGTGCCGTTCAGCACGTATATCCCGAATCCTCAGTATCCGCCCATTCCGTCTTCGATCGTATACCCTTGGGGTATATCTTCCTTACCAGCCACATGCATTCAGCGCAACCCAAAACAAGGGAGAGGCGGACGGATGAAAGGAGGAGGGAGAATGATGGAGCACGAGAAAAATTAGCTGGGGGGCTAGGAGCAGTAAGTACGTGGCAGAACCAGACGGGCAGCTCGGGCGGGCAGACCCTAGCGGGCGGGTCGGGAAGGCGGACCCAGGCGGCCAGGTCGAGCAGGCGGGCTGCCGAAGCGTAAATCCTGCATGAATCGCGAGGAAGTCTCGAGCGATAGCGCGATTCTCAAGTAAATCGCAAGAAACACCAA